AATTTCCTCATTCCAAAAAGTATGCATTTCTAACTGCATCCCAAGAGATACTGTAGGTGTAAGCACCATGAAGGATGATGGTGAACACTGAAGTTTTTAACCTCTTGCCCAACATAAGGGAATCGTGTACTTAAAATAAGTATATAAACATCCATGATAAGGTATCCATTTTTATGTTCAGATTTAATGAAACATAAGCATCGTTGGAGACATGACTGGACAGGAGGTTATAATCTAATGCTTAGACTACACAAGAACCCTACCAGGCTAGTCCATTCAAATTCTTCGTAGCCTCTAAAGCATGGCTCCTTCACTATAAGACAGGACACTTTTGAAATGGTCATCATCTGACCTACTCAATGACAAGTTAGGTCAAAGAATTTCTTTACCATCAGTTCCAAGACAGACGAGCACTAAATAGTGAAGAAATATGTAGGGAGGAGGTTGTAGCTTGGTTTGAGGAAAGGGTTTTCAGTTTGGGTGACTCATCTCCAGGAAAAAGGAACTGTAGTTCTATAGCTTGCCTTGAAGGAAGAAGAAAGGTGCTGAAGGAGACAGGAAGGAATCAGCAGTTCATGGAGAAACTTCCTTTGTGAGGTTTATTGTGAGCGTCTCATTGGTGTCTTATTTTCTGAATGTCATGATCGTAAGGGTGAATGTTCTTATTGAGGAACCATGCCTTATAGATCATAGGTGCTAATACTGTGAAAAAATTCAAAGGGTCAATAATAAGTGCCAGCAGAAAGACAGATGAGTGATCTTACTTATATGTAGAGTATAGAAACATCTGCCTCCTAAAAGGAGATAAGAACCTGGTGGCTACCTAGAGACAGGAGGGAGAAGGAGTGAGGAGAATGGGAAAAGACTAATAATCCACAGCTGAGAGGGTACTGCAAAATACGCAGAAGTTACTGAAAGCTATTCCCTTGCTGTATAGTATAGTGATTTGTACAGGGGCAAAATAGAGGTACACACAGGCATCTCAGTAATGTACCGGTCATTTGAAAAAGAAAAAGACTTTGAAGGTTTTTACCATAATGAAATGGTAAAGGTTTGAAATATTTTAATCTGATTGAAACATTACATGATTTATTAACCATAGCATGGTAGGTATTCCATTACGATGTACAATTTTATGTTTTTACATATCATTTAAAAAATTTTAAAAGTCAATGCCAATTGGGTGATTTAGAAGCATTATCAGTAGTCCACACAAGAAATAATAGGTGTTCTACTCAGATAAATGGGGAATAATCAAATAATGCAACAAAGACCTAGAAGATACCATTTGGTGAAGGTTGGTCTAGATATAAAAAAAATGAAGGAAGGATTGCCAAAGATAATTGACTGAGTTAGTTACTCTATCTTATTATTTGAATAAAATGGAGTTTCATCTTTAAAATAAGAAATATGAATATACCAAAGCAAAAAGTTGTGTGTGTGTGTGGGGGGGGTAATATTTCCTTGTGTTTCGTGGACTATATGCTCTTATCTAAAACATGGCAGTAATCATAGTGAAAGCTGGAACTGACAACCCAGTTATGAAAGACTTCTGGCTTCCAAGGGCACCACAAAGCATGTTTCAGGAAAAAAAATGTCATGAAGGAACCCCTGATCCTATCCACAGTATCCCCTAGGGAGTATGAGCCAGACTACACTTGGGCTCTGTGTCAAATATGATTGCTGTGACTCTAGCTTAAGCTGGTAACTAGAGCATCTAAAGTGAAAAAAGACAGTGATTAAAAACTAGTGATAGAGGAGCTGAAAGAGCAAAGAAAAAGAGGCTTAATCTCTGAGTTAAAATTCAAAGGGAATGAACATAAAAAGCAATGAAATAAAAGAGTTGATAGTGCACAAAAAATGGCATTTAGTAGCGTATTAGTTTGTAGAAACAACTATTTGAAAACAAAAAGGAAAGAGAGGCATGGTTAAAAAAAAAAAAGACATTTACTAGATTGTCTAAAGACAAAACTCCCAAGGAAACAATACTGAAGAAGACTTGGGAAAAGCACCTGTGACCCTGGGGAAACTGGGTGACCCCTTCCTTACAGAGTACTTTAGCAGAAAGTTCCCCAGAGTCCAAGGAAGCAAAACAAAGGTTTACTAATGGAAACACAGAGATTATATTTAAGGATCTCTGACAGAGGATCACAGGCACAAACTTGAGAGCACTCCAGAAATCAACCAGTGCCTTCTTGCCAAAAAAACAACAACAACAACAACAACAAAAGTGTCTCTCACAAGACCGGAGGTGTGCAGCTCAGCATCAAATTTAGAGAACTGTGGGAACTAAAATCAGTAAAGCCCATGAGATAGGCCCAACACAATATGAAGTTTCAAAGGACGCTGAAAGAGAACTCATGAATGTACATCATTTTATAATATAATTTGATATTCAATAAAAGAATAGTGTTTTACTTTAAAATGTCTAAGTGTTCATAGTGTAAAAATTGCAAGGAAAGCAAAATAAGTAAAAACAAAACAAAAAACCTGAAAACTTGTGTACTTTGGACTTTGGGTACCCCAGACTAATATGATGCTATTAACAGATCATGATTAGATTAGAAGAAGGTGTTCTCTGAACTCACTGTACACTTAACAGTCTCTGTTTAGGAAGCACTGCCAAGTTCCTAAGCACCACCTGGACTTAGTGCATGCAGTTACACAAAGTGATGTGATTTGTGCCAGTTGAAAGAGTGTATGATTTTACACTTCGCAAAATTTAAATCCAGATAATTTGTATTATTTTTGAAGGGTTCAAGATATATAATTTGTATCATGAGAGGAAAAGAAGAGAATTGTTTGTAGAGTCTAGTTTATATAAATTGATTAAAGTGGAGGTTATTCTATTTGTTTGTTTGAGTGTATTCCAAGGAATAAAACAATTATAACTAATATAACACAAGTAAAATGAGTAGGTGGTTATAGTATAGCTCTTGGGAGTGAAAAATACCAAAGAAAGGTGAGCCCAGATTAGATCCATTAATCCCGAACTCACCAGGGAGCCCAAATGTAATCTTTAGACCCAGATATCTCCATGCTCCATCTGACGCTCCTGATTGACACTGGTTGTGGAAAGAAAAGATTTTTTTTTTAAATTCTTACAAGTTTTCCCAACAGAGGTAAAATTGTTCAATATGAAACCTAGATTCATCTGAAGAACACAATGATTTTATAGCATGCACAAGGGACAAGGGCTAGAATTATTCAATGAATGTACAACAGAGAAAGAAAGAAAGAGAGGAGAAAGGAGAGGGAGACAAGAATTATATCCACATAGTTAAAACCAGCAAATATTTATGTTAACGTTCCCTAAAAAAGAATTATATTCAGGAATTTCATATATTAGGAATTTATAATGTAACTTATCTAAATATTACTAATTATAATTATTGAGTTATATATTGAATTTTAGAGAAGAATTTTGTGTGGATGGGTGCTTAACTAGAATGACAATAATCTACAAAAAATCTCTCATACTCCATAAGGCTATTAAGAATAACTGAAAAGTTTCAATTACCCTACTTATGGCTACAATCTCCCTTATTCTACACATTCATAGATGTCACTGGCAAGAGCTATATAGAAACTGTCTCGAGGCTTTAAAAATACTGGAATTATTGACAGATCAAAACATGTTGGATTTTCCCTCTGAATTTCAGTTATGGGGAAAAAAATGAAATAGTTCCTGTCAAAGAATGTCAACTTGGCTCTAGCAGGCAAACTTCCCTGACAGTCTCTGTGCAGTAACTGCCCTGTTATTTAGTAATTGACCCTGACTGCAGCAGAGATGGAGCATGTAAAGAGAAGAATAAGCAAAACAAAATGACTGGGAAACAGGAAAATTGAAGGAAATGCAACATTGTTTTCTGTCTGATTCTTTTCATTTAACTAAAGAAAGCAAGCAAGTAATGGGGAGTTTGAGGGGGAGAGAGAGTAACAGAGAGAGGGAAAAGAAGAAAAAGAAAGAAAAAAGGAAGGAAGGAAGGAAGGAAGGAAGGAAGGAAGGAAGGAAGGAGGGAGGGAGGAAAGAGAGAGAGAGAAAGAAAGAGAGAAAGAAAGAAAGAAAGAAAGAAAGAAAGAAAGAAAGAAAGAAAGAAAGAAAGAAAAGACTAAAATTGACTGCATGCATACTAAATTTGAAATACGAAAAAAAAATTGCCCAGATATTTTCTATCATTTTGGTTTCCATTGTCTGCATGAGTGTATGCCAAGTTCCTAGTGAAAACAGGTAAACACAAATTCACACTTAGTTCATATTTTGTGTTTGTGGTTACTGACACCGGGCCTTACACATGTCTAAAGCTCTGTAGCTTGGTCATCCGTTCACTCACTACACGGAGCGCTTATCAAACAACTGCTCTGCCCAGATGGTAATGGCACGTCCGTGAAGAAAGCAAAGCCCATCAACAGGCTGACCCTGCTATCACTAAGATGATATTTGCCTGCCCTGAGGAAAACTGTGATCATAAACCAGTGATCAAACCTTCATACCTTACACCAGCAACCTGAATTTAAAAGTGAGCTCTGCCAGAGTGGATCCTATCCTTGGCACAACTTCCTGAACAGAACACCAACAGCTCAGGCTCTAAGATCAACAATCAATAATTGGGACCTCATGAATAGCAAGTCAGTGATGAGTTCAGTCATGGTTCTAATTATGGTGATCTATTTTGTCAGGATTTTGTTGTTGTTGTTTTGTTTTTTTAAGCAAACAAAAACAGAATAGAGGTCACTGAAGAAGTGGTTCACATAACTCAAAGTGTGTTTTGAGAGTAAATTCTGATTTCTTCTTGCCAGACCAGAGTTTCCAGGAAACTTCCATTTAAATGCAGTTTTACACCTAAATGAAGCCTGTTTCTCACAGTGGCTGTTAATACTGAAAAGAAATTACAGTTGATTTCATGATTACAACAGTCTTACTATTTCTTTTCTGTTGTATTTATAATTTCCTCCTTTGTTACCAACCTTACCTTTCCTTGTGTTTTTCTGTTCCACAGAAAAAAATTATGACATCAACATCCAAAGGCATTCTTCGCCCATTTCTAATCGTCTGCGTCATCCTGGGCTGCTTTGTGGCATGTCTGCTCATTTACATCAAACCCACGAACAGCTGGGTCTTCAGTCCAATGGAGTCTGCAAGTTCTGTGCTGAAGATGAAAAATTTCTTCTCCGCGAAAACTGATTATTTTAATGAAACCACTATTCTCGTTTGGGTGTGGCCATTTGGGCAGACTTTTGACCTTACGTCCTGCCAAGCGATGTTCAACATCCAAGGGTGCCATCTCACAACGGACCGTTCATTGTACAACAAATCCCACGCGGTCCTGATACACCACAGAGACATCAGCTGGGATCTGACTAACTTACCTCAGCAGGCCAGGCCACCCTTTCAGAAGTGGATTTGGATGAACTTAGAGTCACCCACTCATACCCCCCAAAAGAGTGGCATTGAGCACTTGTTCAACCTGACTCTGACCTACCGCCGCGACTCAGATATTCAAGTGCCTTATGGGTTCTTGACGGTGAGCACGAATCCCTTTGCGTTTGAAGTGCCAAGCAAAGAAAAGTTAGTGTGCTGGGTTGTGAGTAACTGGAACCCGGAACATGCCAGGGTCAAGTACTACAACGAGCTCAGCAAGAGTATTGAGATCCACACGTATGGGCAAGCGTTTGGAGAGTATGTGAATGATAAGAACCTGATTCCCACCATATCTACTTGTAAATTTTATCTGTCTTTTGAAAATTCAATTCACAAAGATTACATCACAGAAAAGCTCTACAATGCATTTTTGGCTGGCTCAGTACCTGTTGTCCTCGGACCATCTAGGGAAAACTATGAGAATTATATTCCAGCTGATTCATTCATTCATGTGGAAGATTATAACTCTCCCAGTGAGTTGGCAAAGTATCTGAAGGAAGTTGACAAAAACAATAAGCTGTACCTTAGTTACTTTAACTGGAGGAAGGATTTTACTGTAAACCTCCCACGATTTTGGGAATCACATGCATGCCTAGCTTGTGATCACGTAAAACGGCATCAAGAGTATAAGTCTGTTGGTAATTTAGAGAAATGGTTTTGGAATTAAAGTTTTCATCATTTTCAAATTTAGTGAAATATGTTAATGACACATCATTCAAGTTTTAAGGATAATAGAATCACTTTGCTTTTGTGTGAAAATTTATTTAAAACCCTTAAGTAACATGTATATTTTGATGGAAATTTTTAAGAGATCAGAATCAGCAATCATTCCATTTGGTTTTAAATTATCCTGTATATATGTGATAATGAACACTGAAAATAATTTATTTGTCACTCTCATTTGTAAACATTCTTTTTCACATTTTATAGTTGCCTGTAAAGAAAGATTATGATTTAGATGTTTCTACACCAATCAGATCTTTAATAGATTTGGGAAATGAAAATGCATATCCTAAAATATGGAAGACTTTTTACCAAGTATTATAATATCTAGATTCTAGCTTGCATATGTGAACAAAGAAGGATTATAGCATCACTTAATTCTTAACCTACTTGACTTCAGAATTGGATGCTGTTGGTAACTGATACAGTTGTTACCTATTTATCACATTTGTGAGGATGAACTTACTCATGTAACAAATAAGAAAGATATGAATCCCAAAGTTAGTAGACCTCATATTCAATTTCATGAAGTTGTTTTGGAACAGTGGACTTTAAATATCTTAAGTAAGTATGCAAGAATTGTGAGACATACAATTTATGTGGGTTTTTGTGATATTTTTTATTGCCTAATAACACCTAATCTTTGATAGTTTCCCTTCAAATTCTGAGGATAATCATTGTTCTAAAAATAAGTAATGCCCTCATATAACAATGAAAAAAATGATATTTGCAAATGCAAAATAAATGTATAAATTATGACATTTATATAACTTTAATTACTCCATTCATTTAAAACATTTTTCCAAAGCATCCATACTGAAAAATTTTATTTTATGTATTGGGTAATAATCAGAAAGAAAACTTGAAAGATATATCCTATCATCTAAAAGAACCTAAACAAAAATTTTACTAATAGGTCTAACATATCATTAAATATAATACAGTGAGAACCTACAAGAAATACACAGTGCTGGCATAGAGTAAGATTTCACTATGTATGTATTAAATTAATTAACAACAAAAAGTCATGGGTAAAAATTGTTTCAGTAAAGCAACAGTTCTAGCTCATAGCTGCTAATTGAAATTTACCTTTTTTATTCCATTTTAAATATTATCCATACATAGCATATGTTGCTATGATATTCAGGGCTTTACAGAACCAATGTAAACTTATTATTGCACTGAATTTGGAGACCTGTTATTTGTGAACTTTCAGCTGCCTGCAGAAATCCTCTTCTGTAAGTGTGGAAAAAATAGATAGGCAAATGTGGATATAGTAGATTAAAAAGAAAACAGATATAAAAACTCCTTATTTGAAAATAATGTTTACAGAACATTATTCTCCAAAGTATTTCTAATGCCTGTGATCTACTCTGACCAGAACCAGAAAAAAAAAAATAATGTTCTGACGACATCTAGTTGGATCTTTTGTGGTTAGTTATACTTTTTCTATTTCCTGTTGTAATCAACAGAGCTTACACTCTCTCTCTGCACCACAAATAGATTATAGGGAAGATGAATTTTATTTCAGTAAGCAGCAAGTATGTGCTCTGTGAGGGAATAAGTTCCCCCAGCATGGGAAGGATTTGAGAAAACAAAACAAAACAAAACAAAAAACAGAATTAAACAGAGAGCTTGATCCCACGTTCTCTATATTTTTCTTTCTTCCTTTCTTTCTTTCCTTCTTTCTTCTTCTTCTTCTTTTTTTATACATAATTGCACAGGTAATGTTGTTAGTCTCAAACTACCAGAGAAATAAAGGTGAAAATGTGTTGTCACTGCCTGGTTTGTGACACAAGCTTCCTATAAATTGCATCTTTTGCCATTCTCAAAGGAGACTGTAAGAGTCATTGTTAATTTAGTATATACTAATGTATATGTACACACATACTAGTAAATTTGCCCAGTTGTTTAACTATTCAACACGTGTTGCAATTGCAAGCTTTTTTTAATCATCTGACCCAGCATAAATTTCCTTTACATTATCTCTTCTAACCACACATTGATTTTTCTATACATTAAGAAATAGTACATGTATGAATGCTTTCCTAGAGGCTCTCATCATACATTGACTTGTTGAAAGTCAGCTTCATACGTTTACCTGTTACGTTTTTGATCTACAAATTGTAGAGCCCTAAAGATGCTAAGTTTAAAGTCTGCTTGCTTTGAAAGGCGGAAGGTGTTTGATATTGCTTCCATCCACCATTGCTAAATTGGATGCTAAGAGACCTGAAGACAATTAATTACCTCTTCCGTTGACTATGAATTTAAGCCCATTTTTGGACTGGAACTGCAACTAAATACCCATAATATTTGCAAAGCCAAGGTTCCACTGTTTCATCTGTACAGTGAGAGCCCAATGCCAAGCTATAGGAGTTAATGTCTAAATTTCAAGTGCACAGTGAATGAGACTTTTTTAATTAGAAGAAATCACAACAATATTCATAAGTCAAACTCTTCTTTCTGTTTATGAGTTAACTACTTACAAAGACATTATTTATTCCTGACATACGTTGAAAGACAGGCATGCCAACTCCTTATGTAGTGATAGTAGAGATTAGCATTTAAGGATCCTATTGCTATTAATCTCCTGTTTGTCTCTACCCTATCCACACCTTTCTGTACAAATATGTCTCAATTCTTATAAATGTAAATATCATATTGACATTATTTAGTGTCTGTGGGATGGTACATTCTGGAAGGACTTCAGCCTTTGAATATATAGTAAATGGAACTTTGAGATGTAGACTTTTTCTGATTTAGTTGTTTTAGCTGTTGAACATTAGCAGAGGAAATGAGATTCACTATTTATGAGAAATAGCCACTGAAAAGATATGCCATTGACTACTCTTTTAATAAATCCTGTGGCTCACAATTTTTCTAAGAATATCTTTTATGAAAAATAGATTTATTCAACCAAATCGGCTTGCTGTTGGTTATAATAAGACAGATAATGGGTCTAGGAATACATGATGATGAGTCTAAAAAGTCCATAAACAAGTTTTCACTCCAAAGTGTAGACAGTCATTATCAGTGCTGTGAATGTTTAATTGTTAATTAATGCAGTATTTATTAGTAAGAATATGGAAATAATTATTTTAAGCCGAACTGATAAGAAAATTTACTGAATTATTTATCTAGATATATTATATTTTAAAGAGGGAAGACCATGGTAGCCATAAATTTTAGGACAGCCATGACTTAATCTGAAGTAGAAACTACAAAAAATAATCTTAGTGGGAAACCAATATTAACTTACAAGGTTCATATTTACTATGAAAAAGCACAGTCCTAGAATGTATGGAGCTTGAACCAAAACCCTTGAAATGTAAAGGGACAGAATACTTAAGGAACTATTTGCTGAGCTTTTAAATTCTTGCCTCTAATTAGAGATTAACTAAGGGAGAAATAAAAACAGAAAACAAACTACAGAGATTTTTTTTCACTTGTCTAATTTCAGACTAGATTTCATGGTTGTTATTCACCCAGAAAGCATTTGGTGTAAATTAATGTTTCAAAATATTCTAGTTCTCCACATTTTACTTTGTGCTTGACCAAGTCTGTCAGCATCCCTAACCTCTAATTTCAAGAAAGGGCGGTGTTAAGAGTTGTAATCAAGCTACTAAATATAACAGATTTTAGAAACTAAAGTATAAGTGGTTCTTTATGCAGGAGGGTTTATTAACAAATGCCTATCAAATAGTTACATCAATGAAATTTGTAGACATGAAAGACACTTTTATTGTAGCCAAAATACCAGCTTCTTCACACTAAATGGAGATATGTTTTATATTAGTTTTATAGTTTATATTGCTCCCAGATGCAGACTATAGGAGGTTTAAGTCCTTCTTATCTTATATTTTAAGACTCAAAAAGAAATAAAATGTTAAAAAAGATTAAACTATGTTTGGAATTTGTTCTACTTTAATATTAACCACTCACCAACAGATTCCAATAAAAAAGAAATTAGTATGTAAGGAGAATACAAAATAAAACACCATGATAGGCAAATATGTATCACCAAACTATGGGGAGAGGAACAGAGTTTTACCCTTTGTCCTTGCTAATTGCTTTTGTTGTCTAGTGAATGTACTGCGAAGACCAGCAGTCAGGTCTTGTTTTTGCTGTGGACATCTCTACTCTGGAATTTTTAATGGCACTTTGAAAAATAGATAAGCTCTGCTACCCCCCAAAGTATTGTCCTTCTTTGTAATTCATATTCAATCCATCCATACTCATAAGCACTTAGTAGAGTCTAAATGGTAGACACACTGCTAAACTAGAAACATGAGTAATTCTATGCTAGGTTGTCACTGCAACAAACTGTAGCCTTGAGAAAATCGCTTGACCTCTCTGGACAAATTATGTTGGTAAGGGTTCCTTCAGCACCCTGCTTTTTAATAGCAGGCCTAGCTTGATATATGCATAAATTTAAATTTTAAATTTCCTTTCCCACCTAAAAATATTTTCGGAAGTTAATACTTCAAATCTAATTTCTTCTTGTTTCTCTATAACAATATTTAAATTTTTAAAGCATGAAACTGGTTATTTGAGTGCTGGAAAAAAAAACATAATCATGGTTCTTTACTGGAGCTTACAATGTAGCAAGTGCTCTATTAACTAATATTTTTCTTTTGTATTTATTTTTCCTCTTAGGTATTTTGTAAAACACTGTTCCCTGGGAATTTAGTTGTCTATAGGAAACCAACCATATGCTGAACCCTATTCTCAAGCATTTCAGATTTTTATGCACTGCTCAAATTCTTACTATAATAATGTAAAAATATTTATTGATGTAAAACTTAGGAATTCAGTGGAAGCTCATGAGGTCCTCCATCAACAGGAATATACAGTTTGTATAAGACTGACTATATTTAAATTTTTTATTCTTTTATTAGACATTACAGGATTAATGTCTAATTTATTTTTATATTCATTTAACAT